ACTTTAACATTACAAACAACATATACAATATTTCACCCTGTGCTATTTTATTTGAGCCTTCAGATTTCTGATGGGTTTCTTGCAAAAATAATAGATCTGGTAAATTTCTTTTAATTTTAAGTTCCAATCGTCTTCTCTTGATCTGGTTCCCTGTACCCTTCACATTCCATGTCATTATTTTTATTAAACCCATTTAAACAGTAACTTTTTTAATCCTTTCCCCTCCTCTTCCTTTCTGTGCCCAGATCCCAGCACCAATCTCCCACATTCCAAACAACATTCAACATAGAAGAAAAAAAATAAAAAAAAAATAAAAAGGGACAAAAGACACATCAAACATTAAATAACAAACAATCTTCATCCCCCACATCCTCAATTGGTTTCCGCCTCTATAAAGAGAGTGGGGGAGAGGGGACTTGCTAATGGTCGGGTCACTTCTTTCGGGTAGTCTACTTAAATTCATCTCTCAGAGAAAAGGGTGGTAACTTCTCCCCGCACTCAGCTTCCTGCAATTCTTTTTCAAGATCCTTCAATTTCTTATCCGCTCCATCTCCCATTATATCATCACGACTTTACTTTTGTTCAACCATCACAGGTGAGATTTCCTTCCGCTTTAATCCTTTAGGATCTTGTCCTCCAGCAGCCCCTTTTTCTTCTGGTGTTGATGTTTTTGCATATGTTCCACCCATCTTGAGCATTTGATCTTTTATCTCTGTTATGTCCTCATACTTTACAATCAATCCAAGTTCATGTAAGTATGACACTGCATCTGTTTCCAAAGTAATTATTCTCATTCTTCCTTTATAAAAAAATTTTAGTTGCTGTGGCGGCCTCCAATTATATTTAATTCCATTGTCTCTCAGAACCTTTGTAATTGGCTTCAAAAAAAATCTCCACGCCCTTTCTTCTCTAGATATATCCGGAAAGACTTGAATAATTTTCTCCTCAAATTTCAAAGCTTCACCCATCTCTCTCACTTTCACCATCACTTCCAGTTTGCCACTAAGATTTGCAAATCTGACAAGTACATTTCTATTTAAGCCGTTTTGTCTTTTAAACCGAATTCTACAAACACTTGCCAGATTTGTTGCTGTAAATGTGATTTGTGTATCCAGGTCATTGAGCCATTTTAAAACTCGTTGTTTCAAATTGTCCACTTTTTCTTCTTGAATTCCTCGAATAACCAGATTATATTTCCTCGCTTCTTCTTCCAAAAGACAAATTTTTTTATCTTGTTGTTCATTTTTAAAAAAGATTTCTCCAATTTGCCGATCTATCTTTGCATCATGTGTATGAATCTGTTCAATTTCATCTTTAATTATTGTCATTTCTACTGTTTGCTTTGCAAAATTTTCATTCATTTCTTGCTTCATTCTTTTAATTTCCAATATCATATTATCCATACTATCTGACAGTCCTGATATCTTTTCACCAATTTTAGTTAAGGCCACAGCAACTTGTTGCATTTCTAAAGATTGTTGGGTCGCCATTTTTTAATAAGTTTTAATTATCCACTTTTGCCAAGAGGGTCTGTAATGAAGATTAAGGGACAGCAATCCACAACTGAAGCTGAGACAGCTTATTATTGCACTCAAAAGGACCAGCAATAAAAGTTTATAGTTCTCAATTCAGCTTACATAATTTCCCTAAAAAAAAAAAAAGAAAAGAAAAAGAAAAAGCTAACATCCGTTGGAAGGCACTGCCCAGAAATGCGTTGTGCCGCTTCGGCTCAGGCACTTTCACAAACAAAAGATCAATTTAAGATTCACTTATTCTTCCAAGAAAAAAAAAACAAACCCTTTCCACCGGTCTTTTGATGTTCCGTGCCTTTATCCCCCAGCAAAAACAAACACAGATCGCGGTAATAATGAGAACAAAGGCAGCTATTTGCTCCAAATACGCAATCGCGACTGCCTATCTGGTCACCCCTCGCTCCTTCCACTTTCCCACGCTATGAAAAGCTTCAAAATTCGAGTCGTTCAGGGTGACCTACCGATTCCAAAGTCAGTCTACTGGGCCAGTAGCTCTTCCGATACAATTTATAAAATTTTGGTCCTTATCAGTGCATTTCAAACACTTTAATCCACATTTATCTTCCGTAAAATGCCCTGCGAAGTGGAGAAAACGTCCTCACACCACCACGGCCATAACCACGCCCCAGGTTCCATAGATCTCTATCAGGACCTTGCCATTCTGGTAGGAGGGGGAAGGATTTGGGTTACGCTTGTGTGTGATTTTCCTTTGTTCCTTTTCTCTGCTTGTATCTTTGGGATGTTGGGAGGGGGGAAAGAATGTTCCTTGGGCCATCTATTTTGTGTCAACACCGGAGTTGCGAGATCGTGGAGCCTAAGAACTGCCTGTTATCACCTTCTCAGCCTGAAGTTCTCACAACATCTTTGCACCTTTGGATTGATTCAAAGATGAACTGGACATTGGGAGGGGCCTCAAAAGGAGGGGTTTAAACTAACGCTCCAGCACGTGAAAATGTTGTGGCCCATCAGCGGCCTGTGCGGATTGTAGCTGATTCTGACAACAAGGAGGCTGGTGTGGTGCTGCGCCAGCAGCCTGTGCAGCTGGCACTCAAGTCAGACAATGAGGAGGCTGGAGAAGATGTGGTGCCAGAGGCAGGGATTCAGCCAGGGCCTTCAGAACCTCCAGAAGCTCCTTTAAGTGAAGAGGACGAAGAGGAGGAGCCTCTTCTCGATGCACAGGCACGCAGAGCTGCCTGAGGAGGAGGAGGTCTCCTTGAGAGTAAGGCTTGGGGCTAATTGGCCACTCCCTTAGCCTATTTAAGGAGGAACGCCAACTGAAGCAAGTTGTAGGGAACAACTTTAGTTCACTCTCCTTCGCATCTGGATTCTCTGCAAATCGCTTCTGGGCTTTCTGCCAACCTTAGTAAGATTGTGATTACTTTATCTTTGGTTTCTTATAGGCTGTTAAGAAACTTTATTAACAGCATTTATTTTGAAAAAGGCTGAGTTATTTTAGTAAATTAAGTTTTGTACAAACTTTGTGTATGCTGTGTTCTTTGGGGTCCGTAGCTGGGGCAGAACAGAAATTCAGATTCTGCCTAAACTCTCTCTGCTATCATTGTCTTCCAATAAAAGTTCCTTTTGAAATGCCATTTGTTTCAAGAGTTCTGCTTTCTTGAGAATGCTGGTGAGGCAGGACCTCACAGAGGAAAACAGTGGATTCCCTTCCATTAGGAAATAACCTGTGCATCATGCAGCAAATAATCTGCATCTTTTCTCTTATCACCATTACATGTAATGCAAAGTTAATAACTGCTTTACACCTCTGAGAAAAATTATAACTTGTCAATAAATAAAAATATATTATGTTTCATAGTATCAAATAAGATTATGCAAAGCGTTCAAATCAATCAGACTGTAAAGGTTGGAAGCAATTTAGAGATCACACAGTCCAATTATATACACCAAGTCCAGTTCAAGAATCTATTGCTACAGCATCTCCATAGACAAACATCCTGCCTCTGTTTAAATGTCTCCAGTGAAGGAGAATCTGCTATCTCTGTGCCACAGCTGAACAGTTCTTACTGTTCTTTTTAAGTTTTTCTTTCCAAGACCTTTATCTCTGGATATGCTCCAGTTTGTCAGGATCCCACTTAAATTGCAAGATCCAGAAGTGGACACATTTTAGATGTCATTAGGCCAATGCATAATAAGGAGGAAACAGAGCTTCCTTAGACTATCAAGTATCTTTGCTTTTTGCAATAAAGCAGGGTTGTCTTTTTTCCAGGGAAAAAATAAAGTGGCTTTCCATAGCAAAGATAGCTAGACACAGCTTTCTAACTAGCCATATGAGTCTTCCAAATGTGCTGCTGTCCCTCCACTGTCTGTAAAAGTGAAGGTATAGCAATAGCACTTATATACCGCTTCACAGTGCTTTATAGCCCTCTCTAAGTGGGCTACAGAGTCAGCATATTGCCCCCAACAATCTGAGTCCTCATTTTACTGGCCTTGGAAGGATGGAAGGCTGAGTCATAGTAGCCAAAAAGAAAGAAGACTTGCAAGGAAAGGCTAGCCAAGTCTATATTTTGTGTGACTGCATCCTACAATATGTTTTCTAGGACCCAGATTCATTGGTTCTTAATATAAATTAACTTAACCTGTTTTGGGGAATTTCACATACCCAAATATATATAACATTGCAATAGCCTTCCATTTATGGCCTATTATTAACCACTTTCATCCTTGTGGTTGCTATTATTCCAGAATTTAGGGTGTAAAAACTACAATGTTTGACGCTGCTCAAAATTGCTTCTCTTATTTTCTTACCATTCATTATTTTTTAAAAAAATATGACCGTTTCTAGAAAATAATCAAAAAGACATGAGTCAAAATGGAAACAATCATGTGAACGTAGGAAGAAAAAATATGTATTATTGTCAGTAATATCACTGGCAATATTTAATCAGATATAACCATTTTATTTATAGCAAAAATATGTTCCACAGAAACTATAGTGTATGCTTATTATACTAGGTTTCTCTATCCATGATACAGTTGAAATCATACATCACACTAAGCCATTGTTAATTTTAACCATTGTTTAAGATAAAATAATGCATCATTATTAGAATCCCAGGGCACAAACCATTGTCTATTATAAGTCGCAATATTATGCTCATTCTAAATAAAAACCAAGCAAAATACATAATGCCTTAACACGCTATTTGAGCATCCCTATCTTTATGAACTCTATTAGTTTATTAGATACATTAGCTAACACTTTTATGATCTCTAGTATAGTGAGTAAGAATTTTCTGTATCCACATATCAGTTGAACCCACATGTCCAGTGACTTAGTGCCAGATTAAAAGCATTCAATAGCAACAACAACATGAAATACACGTGGGACTATATTTATGGACTTCAAGATTCAGTGTTAAAAAGTCAAAATGACTTTGTTATCCAGGTAAATGCCAGAACTGATAAAGCTGTATATTTCTTCATTCATTATTAAAAAGGAGGTGCTACCTGATTGGTCGATTCTCTTTACTATCAAAAAGTGAAAAGATAACTTCTAGTTCTTCTCCTAGATTAGAACACATCAAACTCTTCATCTGCACAAAGAGATGGTGGCTGCTTGCTGGGATTGGTGTGTCTTTTTTGTGATGACGATGTTCCATCTAGAGTGCCAAACAAAGATCAAACCAGTTTATGCTTATTTTAATTCATGAAATATAAACATATAGAAAGGCATTTTTTGCTCATCACTTTATTTTTGTTAACAACTTGTGATTGTTTAAATCAAACATTTGAATTGTTCATCTGTTTCTTGTGAGACAATACTAGACAACATCTTGTTTTTAGATTCATTAGCCAATCATTATTTCAGATAAACACAAAGGTCACTTTTTCACATATCCATTACATTTTTAGCACTCTTTCCCAGAAACCTCAGGATAGATTTAATGATTTTCCTTCTGCATGACAATCTTGGGGGGGGGAGAGGGGGGGGGGGGGGGGGGGGAGGGGGAGAGCACACAACACAGCAGCATTCACCCATAAATAAAATGAGTTATTTGCTTACCAATTGGTACAACTCTGTAATACTGATTTCCTCTGGATCCACCATTGCATATTCCTTTCTTGGAACCAAATCTAACCCTAGCTGTCTGCAAATGTGTACAAAGTCTAATTAGAAGAACAATTTAAAATTCTTAGTTAAAATTTATAGAAAACATACAGAGTTTAAATCTGAAGCAATCTATCATTCTTATTACCATTATCCCTGCACACTTAACAGGAAAAATATGCAATGTACAATCTATGATTATTGCAAATTACAGATAATAAAAAGCAGTATTAATAGAACACATTTCTGCCATTTCTATTGCATGGTTTTATTCTTTATTCACTCTCTACCTATTATCTAACTTTAAAAATTATGTACTAAAACACTAAGGGATTAATAGCAAATAACTCACATTTTTGACAACACAGTCCAGGAAAATAACAGCTTAGGAAAGCAAAATAGAAAGGCTATGTTTTTATCCTGAAATCAATGTAAAAGTTAGAATTAAAATAAAGAGCTGCTTTTAACTAAAGCCAGCACCTTGTCAGCTTCCAATATTCATAAGGGCTGTTAAAGTTAAAAAACAGCTAGTTTGCAACAACTGCTATTTGGGAACAACTGCATCTTCCTATCATCCATCTTTCTTTCTTTCTTTCTTTCTTTCTTTCTTTCTTTCTTTCTTTCTTTCTTTCTTTCTTTCTTCCATCCATCCATCCATCTATCTATATATCTATCTATCTATCCAAATATATCTGGAAGTTATATTTATATTTTCTATACATCTATCTACATCTTTCATATATATACCTATATGAAAAAGGGAAACAAATCAGCTGTGTACAAATACACATTTGGGACAGAGAGATCTGGAAGAAGATGCAGTTGTTTCCAAATATTTGTGTGTATGTGTGTTTGTACACATATGTATGTTTGTACACAGCTGCTTTGTTTCCTTTTTTTCTTAGATAGTTTTCTTTGGCTGGTCTCAAATAGGTAAACAGGTTAGAATATTGAGTGCAAGATCATCAGATAATCCCAGGGCTAGACTGCAAAATTAAAAAAATAAAAATCTTAGACAGCAGTGATAATATTTCTGGATTGCATACTTCTGATATAGAAATTTATCCATATGACATGGTTCATTTTCTAAGGTCTGTCTATTTATCTGTCAGGAAACATACATCAAAGAGACATAAAACAAAGTCCTAATATACTTGGAATTTTTGAAGAATGAGCCAAAAGAGCCGTACATCCACCACCTTACTATTGGAATGTAGCTGTTAAAAGGAAATGGAAGCACCAAAATGTTTTTTAGACAGCTCTTTTTACAAATATTATCAACTATAAGAAACCCACTGTTTTTATTCTTTCTGACAAGCTTCATCTCTATTCTATAGATGCTCTAATTAGTCTTTCAAAGTCAGCAAGATAATGTCAAGATCAGCATGAGCTATGCCTGGCAGCATTCAAAATATATCCAACAAAATATTGTTCTATGAATTCTTCACTTTCCAAGCATTATGTATTCAGTAATAAGCAAAGTGAAAGACTTTGATATGGTATGCATTTAGTAAGCATAAACACATAAAGAAATACCTGTCTATCATAAAAATTCTAACAGTGGGTTGATTTACTCAAGGTTTTCAAGCAAATATTCAGATAACAGCAAAGATTTCTTGAATGCTTTAAGCCAGTGGGTACTTTTCTTACTTTGTAACCTTTTCTGACACTATCCAAATAGAAATTCATCTCACTCAGTGCAGCAGAACAAATCAAATTTAGATGCAATATCAGCCAAAAGCAATAGAAGCACTAACAATATTTATTTTTGAAAATTAAATAGCAAATCTTTGAGGCAGCTCTAATAAAGTGTTCCTCTTCACCAGGGACATCTAAGGAATGTTTGCTCTTGGCACAATCCCATACTATAGGTCTGTGATGGCGAACCTATGGCACATGTGCCAGAAGTGGCACTGAGAGCCACCTCTCTGGGCACGCCAGCCATCGCCCATTGCTCTTCCGGATTCCAGCGCACACATGTGCACCAGCCAACTGGTCTTCACACGTGCATGTGCACCAGAAACTGGAAGACCAGGTGACCGGCACTCATGCGCACGCCAGAAACCAGCAGCTCAGCTGTTCAGCTGCTCTTCCAGTTTCTGGCGCTCCTGCACGGGCACATCAGGGAGCTGCTCTTCCAGTTTCTGGCACTCCCCCCCCCACGTGCGCACGCTCCCATTTTGGCACTCTGCTGAAAAGGTTTGCCAACACTCTATAAGTAGTCCTCCACTTACAAATACAATTGGGACCAGAATCTTGGGTGTTGAGCGAAGTGATCATTAAGTGAGATGTGACTCAGTGACTGTAATCCTGGTTGTGGCCATTAAGCAGACAGAATAAAATGCTGAGTTCAGCTCTCCTCCATGCACAGAAGGAAACTGTTTTATTAGGCATAAAGATCAGAGCTTGGATCTTCAGGATCTCAACTTAGTTTCTCCACTCCCCAGGAGGAATTTGTCTCCCCTCAATGCATTGAAAAGAACTGCTCTGGTGGATTGCAAGAATAGAGGTTGGATCTTCAGAATATAAGCTCCATTTCTTCACCCTGGTGGAGGAATTCAGCTCCTCTCAATAAGCAAGTCTCTCAGCCAGCTCCCAGAGACAAGAGAGAGTCATTTCAGCAGGGCACAGCAATTTGCAAACTTCCATCCTTACCTCCCCACTGATTTTCTGGAGAAGCCAAAAGGTGGTGGCTGCAAATGGTTATCACATGATGAGCATCCAGATCGCAATTATGTGATGGGGAGAGGGGACACAACACATTTTCTGATGGCTGGGCAGGAGTGCTTTATGGACCATAAAGTATATTTCAGAGTCACTGTAATTTTGAATGGTTGTTAAACATTCCATTGTTAAGTCAAGGACATATATTCTCACACTATTTTATAGGACAGATATGATGATCTTTCAGGGATTCCTTGTATAGTATTAATGTGATGGGAAAGATCTACATGGTCAGCTCCTACTATCTGTCTGGAACTTTCAAATCAAAATACAGTGCCATCCTATGTTACTGAACAAAGAAGGGTATAAATTCAGGCAATTGGCAGCATTCAAAGAACTACAGGGCTCTTCTTAACATTTCTCTTACCTGCAGCCTTCACAATTTAAGAAAAACTTCTTCTGATCAAATAGACAGAAGACTTTGGCAAGAAAAGAACTGTCCTCCATTTAAACAAGAGGTTTTACTAGAAATTGTCTGTTTATTGAGTATAAACAGCCTAAGGACATCAATAAAGGTTTTTTAAACCTTCTTACTGAAAAGCTGCTTATTCTTTATGTCACAGCCCACTTGCAACAAGCTATCAGCACACAGCAAAATCCATTGCCTTTTTGTCATCTTGCCATAAACATTAAAATAGCAATGAATGGCAATCAATGTAACAGTTTTATCAATTGACTCTTACTCACTCATTGCCCCAGTCCAAGCGAGCAGTAATGTGCCTTTTTACATCCTTCATCCGATCATGGGTCAGATGACCCACCAGTACCTGACGTCGCAGATCTAGGATTTCATTCATTATGTGCCACAGTCGGTGAAATAGATCACCTTCATTTCTCTGTCAAATACAGAAGTTAATTTTCAGATTATCAAAATCATGTCTCTTATTCAAATTTGTTGCTGTTCCAGAAGCATAATCCAGGAAAAGAGGGAAAACCATGCTTATTGAGATGGAAATAGTCAAACTAAATTAATCTTTTCTTTTAAAAAATCCTCCTTTGTTTAAATACACATTTATGGATGTGTAGTTTGCTTTGGTAGTGAGTTTCTTCTTATTTGTATGCAAATACAAATACAGAGAAGAGCAACCAGGATGATTAGGAGGCTAAAACATAGGATGTGTAAGGATCAGCCTTTCCCCCCTTCCAAGAAAGTACGAACTCTTGAAAACTTTGTATTTCAAAAGAAACCTTTTATTGAAAAGGGATGAAAGCAAAGCAACATTCAAAGCAGTTTCTGAGGTCCCTCAGGGCATGCAGTCCAGAATAAAGGGAATTAGAAATACAGGGGTATTTTCAGTTACAGGAAGCCTTATGGCTGAACTGGGATGTGGTTAAAAAACATCACTATTTGAAGATTCCAGTCTGGGTATCTACAATTGAAGCTTTTTCATATCCAGTGACATTTAGGAGAGAACAAATTGTTAGATATAGGGAATTATTGGATGAAAAAGGTGAACTCAAATTAAAGCAGGAAATAGAAGAGCAGGGATGTAAGATGGACTGGTTTTCATATATGCAAATACTTTCTAGCTATCGAGAAGATCTCAAACAAGAAGGTTTTTATAATGTTTTGACTAATCTGGATAAGATTTTATTGGGTTCTGATGACCATGTAATTAAAAAGTTATATGGATATTTGTTAGAGGTAAAATTGGAAGATGAACAAGTTAAAGAATCAATGATAGCGTGGGGGAAGAATTTTGGGTATGGTATTGATTTAGAGAAATGGCAAAAATTGTGCTCACATAATTATAAAATGACAATGTCTGCAGCATATAAGGAGAATTTGTAGAAGATGTTTTACAGGTGGCATCTATCCCCGACGAGGATAGCCAGGATGTTCCAGAATAAATCAGAGAAGTGTTGGAAATGTCACCAGACTCCAGGATCTTATTACCACATGTGGTGAACATGCGCAGAAGCAAAGAGATATTGACTAAGATATACACATGGTTGGAAAAAATGACAGAGACATACTGACTTGAAACCAGAGATATTTTTATTAGGGATCTTACCAGAGACATATAACAAAGATTTGCAATATTTAATTGTGAACCTTTTAACAGCGGCTAGAATTGTATTTGCCAAAAACTGGAAAGGAGAAAAGATACCTATTGATGAAGAAATCATTAAGAAAATGATGGAATGTGCTGAAATGAGCAAATTGACATTAAAAATAAGAGAACAGGAAGATAAACAATATTTATTTTATCAATGGTTGCGCGACAGCTACCCCAGTACCTGGATGAAGCGTCGTATCTAGATCCGTTCCAGTCGGGCTTCAGACCTGGGTACAGCACGGAAACGGCATTGGTCGCGTTGGTTGATGATCTCTGGAGGGCTCGGGACAGGGGTTGTTCCTCTGTCCTGGTCCTGTTAGATCTCTCAGCGGCTTTTGATACCATTGACCATGGTATCATGCTGCACCGGCTGGAAGGGTTGGGGGTGGGAGGCACCGTTTTACGGTGGTTCTCCTCCTTTCTCTCTGACCGGTCGCAGTCTGTGTTGACAGGGGGGCAGAGATCGACCCCGAGGCCCCTTATATGTGGGGTGCCGCAGGGATCGGTTCTCTCGCCCCTCCTGTTCAACATTTATGTAAAGCCGCTGGGCGAGATCATCCGTGGTTTCGGAGTGAAGTACCATCTGTACGCTGACGACACTCAGCTGTACATCTCCACCCCGGATCACCCCAACGATGCCCTTGAAGTGATGTCCCAGTGCCTGGAGGCCGTACGGATCTGGATGGGGAGAAACGGGCTCAGGCTCAACCCATCCAAGACCGAGTGGCTGTGGTTTCCGACGTCCCGATATAGTCAGCTGGTGCCATCGCTGGCTATTGGGGGCGAATCATTGACCCCCACGGAAAGGGCTCGTAACTTGGGCGTCCTCCTGGATTCACGGCTGTCTTTAGAAGAGCACTTGACGGCCGTGACCGGGAGGATTTTTCATCAGGTTCGCCTGATTCGCCAGTTGCGTCCCTTTCTGGATCGGGACTCGTTACGCACAGTCACTCATGCCCTCGTCACCTCTCGTCTGGACTATTGTAATGCTCTCTACATGGGGCTCCCCTTGAGGTGCACCCGGAGGCTCCAACTGGCGCAGAGTGCGGCCGCGCAGGTGGTTATGGGAGCAACATGGAGCTCCCACGTAACACCTCTCCTGCGCGAGCTGCACTGGCTCCCGGTGGTCTTCCGGGTGCGCTTCAAGGTTCTGGTTACCACCTTTAAAGCACTCCATGGCTTAGGACCTGGTTATCTACGGGACCGCCTACTACCACCAACAGCCTCCCACCGACCAGTACGCTCCCACAGAGAAGGGCTCCTCCAGGTGCCGTCGGCCAAACAATGTCGGCTGTCGGCCCCTAGGGGGAGAGCCTTCTCTGTGGGGGCACCGACGATCTGGAATGAGCTCCCCCCAGAGATACGGAGGATCCCGGATCTGCGCACCTTCCGCCGCGAGTTGAAGACGCTTTTATTTCATCAAGCGGGCCTCGCCTAAATCTTCTCCCTTTTAAATGTAAATTTTAAATTTTTAATGTATTTTAAAATTAGGGGTATTTTAAATTATGGGTATTAATTCAGCCAAATTTATTTAATTCATTTTTATTCGATTTTAAATTTTGTATATTTATGTGTTTTATTTCATGGCTGTACACCGCCCTGAGTCCTTCGGGAGTAGGGCGGTATAGAAATTCGATAAATAAATAAAAAAAAATAAAAATAAATGGGATTTATTTTATCAATGGATCGACGATAAAACCTGGAGATAATTATGAAACTAGTTGAGATAAGATAAAATAAGTAAAAAAATGTATACGGAAATAAGTTGAGATGTTTAGTGATAAGGTGAAAAGAGGAGCAACACAAAAAATGTCACCAATCGACACACTGTCTATAATTGTTTGAAATGATAATGTTTTTATGTTTTGTTTTTGTTTTTTAAAAAATAAAAAAGTTGATTAAAAAAAAACAAAAAAACATTCAAAGCAGGCTCTGAGGTCCCTCAGGGCATGCAGTCCAGAATAAAGGAAATTAGGAACCCCTCCCCACAATCCGATGTGGATTCCCACCAATTCGCCGGTGTGAAGATGATATCATACCAGCCTCTCTGAGAAGCAGATAAGTAGAGCTTCTCAGGGCCATCTTGCAATCCATATGTCCCCCCTTCCCCTCTCATTTCCCAGGAGATGAGAATTCTCCAGGTATTTCTGGTGCCAGGCAATGGTTATAAATCAGGTTAAAGTTTATACAAAGAGGACCAGGTAGGAAATAGGATACTTAGGATACATAGGAAAGAGAACTAAATGTGACAAATCCAAATCCCCCTCAGAAAAATGGAAAATCCACCTAGAAAGACATAAAATATATAATACATTCACATTTACGATGGTTTGTGAGGATATTTCAGGTGGAATTTCCTTAACAATGTGGGGTTTTTTTACATGTTTTTCATTCTGAGAGGATGGTAGGTGTTTTTGATGTTAAGTGTCCATTTTAGCGCTTGAGATATGATAGAACCTAGAAATTTGAAGGTCTCTACTGTTTGATAAGAGCCGAGGTGGCGCAGTGGTTAGAGTGCAGTACTGCAGCTACTTCAGCTGACTAGCTAGTTCAGCAGATCAGCGGATCAAATCTCACTGGCTCAAGGTTGACTCAGCCTTCCATCCTTCTGAGGTGGGTAAAATGAGGACCCAGATTGTTGGGGGCAATATGCTATTTAGTATGCTATCTTTGGTGTAAGCCGCCCAGAGTCCTTACAAGTGTGTTCAGGTTCCGCTAACTGATTTAGTTTAGTTAGAAAAATGTCCGGTATGATGGTATTGAATGCTGAACTAAAGTCTACAAAGAGGACCCTTGCATAGGTCTTTGGAGATTCAAGATGTTGTACGATGTAGTGCAGAGCCACATTAACAGCATCATATGTCGATCTATTTGCTCAGTATGCAAATTGCAGGGGGTCTAACAGCAGATCCATGATGGTTTTCAGGTGGGACATCACTAGCCTTTCAAAGGTTTTCATAACTACAGATGTTAGAGCAACTGGTCTGTAGTCATTCAGTTCCTTGATGGAGGGCTTCTTCGGCACTGGGATGATAGTGGAGCATTTGAAGCAAGAAGGAACGTGGCACATCTCTAGTGATTTATTGAAGATTCAGGTAAAGATGGGGGCCAATTGGTCAGCACAGACTTTTAAGCAAGAAAGAGTTATCGTGTCTGGGCCTGGTGCTTTTCCTGGCACTTCCTTTTCTGTGATCACCAGGGGTTGTGACCCCAATGGGATGGAGTCAGTTGTAGGAGGTTTGGCTGTTGTTGGTGTGTCTGAGATGGGGTCAGTTGCAGGAGGTTTGGCTGTTGTTGGTGTGTTTCAAGAAGAGATTGGACTGTCATTTGTCAGAAATGGTGTAGGGCAGTGATGGCTAACCTTTTTACCGTCGCTTGCCAAAAGCGGAGGAAGCGCGGGGGGAGGGGTTGCGGACATGCATGCCCACATCCATTCTGTAAGGAATGTGTGTATACATATAGAGTTGTCTTTATAGATATCTATCTTTCTTTGGATTCAGGCCTGAATTTAGAATCTTTGAATAAAGCAGTCAAAACACGCTTGCTGACAAAAACAACATTCTGATTTTAAAAGTTATAAAGTATTCATTTATTGATTCCTTCCACATTTAAGAAGAGTGGGAGAACCAGAGTGGAGCTGTATATTCTACCCAATGTTACTACTGAAGCAAGAAAACCAGTAAACCCGATATCACAAATATGTAACACATGAATAAATGTTTTAGTTATACCCTAAGAAATTTATCTTGCATATCTGCATATCTGTCCCCCTAAAAATTCCTAGACGAGGCATACATAATCTTTTCTAAAATAATTTTTTTAAATGGATTTTTTAAAGTTGGAACATTAAAGAATCAAGGAGAAATCTCTGATATTTAATTATAGTTATTGATCACTACATATGCCATGGGGATTTCAGCCTTTTCTTCCAACACCTGAATCTAAAATGTATTTTACTGTATCTGAAAGTTCTTTAAAAGATCTTATAATGCTTGCCCATTGCCATTGTTATGCTTTCTTTTGATATTATATGTTTCTCTTTCAACACAGTATATGTTAGCATATGTTTCTCTTTCAACACAGATAAGATTACATTGTTTTCTTCTGTTGCATGTTCTGTTTTGAAGGATTGGGAACATATTGTCAAAAAGCAGTACTGTATACACAAATACAGTATATTGTCTATTGAAAAATAATGATTTATTTACCACATAAAGCTGTTTCCACATTGTCCCCCAGTCTCTTAAAGTGGAAGTCATCTCTGTAATAACAGAATCTTCTGCTGGAATAATAATTTCAAACTGCCTATTAAAATCAGAAGAAAAAACTGTCAAATAAAAATCCAAAGTGGCATTACTTTTCGACTAAAAAAAAAGTTGCTTTGGTAATTGAGTGTGGCTAGTCAAAACCAGCTAAGATTACGTACAGACCAAAATAAACTCAAGATACTCCAAAGACCATGTAGCAGAGTCACTCATACACTCTGTACAAAGCTGATTCCAGATGTGCTGGAATTGAACCAATTCGATAAGTCTTGTAACAGGAAGTCCTCAATCTATGACCACTCGCTTAGTGACCATTCCAAGTTATAACCTATGGGGGGGGGGTAACCAAATGTATGTCCCAGTTCTGAAGTTCCAGCTGTCAAGGCCATAGCAAACCAGGGTTTTGGTTTAACAATGGTGATGTTTGTTTAACCATGGTGGGATTTGCTTAGTGACTGCCGCAACAATGGTCGTAAAATGGTTGGATGGTCCTGTTTGACAACTGTCTCGCTATGTGACCATCATAGGAAGGTTGTGTGAAGGATATATGATTTTCCGTACAGTGCAATCTTAGGTACGGATATACGACATCTGTCAAGATTGGCCGTGATGGTCGAAAGTCAAGGACTGCCATCAAATTGGAAAACAGTACAGGTAATCCTCGAATTACAACAGTTCATACTCTGACCATTCAAAGTTACAAGGCCGCTGATGACCATTTTTCACACTTACGACCATTGCATTATCCCAATGGTCACATGATTTACAATCAGTTGCTTAGCAACTGACTTGCATTTAAGATGGTCACAATGTCCTGGTGTCATGTGATTCCTCTTTTTATTTTATTTATTTATTTTATGCAATTTGTATGCCGCCCTATCTCCGAGGACTCAGGGCAGCTCACAACGGTAAAATGCATAATTCCTGCCAATATAAAATTAAAATCCCAATTTAAAACAATTTAAAAATTCATTACCCCCCCTCCCCCATCAGTCCAGGCTGCGGAACAACTAGGTCTTCAAGTCGTGGCGGAACGAGCAAAGGTCAGGGGCCATCCGGAGGTCCAAAGGAAGCTGGTTCCAGAGGGTGGGTGTGCCCACAGAGAAAGCTCCCCCCTGGGGGTCGTCAGCCGACACTGTCTGGCCAACGGCATCCTGAGGAGGCCCTGTCTGTGGGAATGCACTGGGCGATTGGGGATTGTCACTGGCTGCAGGGGGTCCGACAAATATCCCGGGCCTAGGCCATGAAGGGCTTTGTAGGTAATAACCAGCACCTTGAACCTCACCTGAAGGGCAACCGGTAACCAATGCAAGTCGCGCAGGAGGTGTGTAACATGGGAGTGTCGGGACGCTCCCATTACAACCCACATGGCCGCATTCTGCACCAGCTGAAGCCTTCGAGTGGTTTTCAAGAGCAGCCCTAGGTAGAGAACGTTGCAGTAGTCAAGACGGGAGGTGACCAGCGCATGAGTAATAGTGCGTAGGGCATCTTGGTCCAAGTAAGGGCGCAACTGGTGTACAAGGCAAACCTGGGCAAATGCCCCCCTGGCCACGGTCGTTACATGATCTTCCAGAGACAACCGTGAATCCAGGAGGACACCCAAGTTGCGAGCCCTATCCATAGGGGGTAACACCTCACCCCGATGGTCAACGATGGAAGATCTCAATCGGACCAAGATGCCGGTACCCACAGCCACTTGGTCTTGGTGGGGTTGAGTCGGAGCCTGTTCCTCCCCATCCTGGTCCATACCGTTTCCAGGCAATGGGACATCACATCGAGGGCATCACTGGTCTGGTCTGGGGTGGATATAAAAAGCTGGGTATTATCAGCGTACTGATGATACCACACCCAAAACCACGGATTTTGTGACCATCTGACAAGCAAAGTCACTGGGGGAGCCGGCTTCACTTAAAGACTGCCTGACTGACTTAAACAATGATTCATTTAACAGCGGTAACAAGAAAACTCGTAAAATGGGTCCAAACTCACTGAACAGCTGTCTTGCTTAGCAACGGAGATTTGGGGAAGCCAAATCTCTGACCACAATGACCATGTGACTGATTTAACACCTGCAGCGATTTCCTTCAAAAACATGGCGAGAGAAGTCAGAAAATGGGACAAATTCGCTTTGTAAATTGTTCATTTCACAATGTAAAGCTCAGTCTCAATTTGTGGTCATAAATAGAAGGGAGGGAAAGGCTGGAGGGAAAGGCTAAATTGGATTGATTTGGGATCTGGCCAAGCGGCCATCCGAAGCATGTGGCATAAATAGAATTAATCCCATCTGATCAAGGCCAGCTGAACTCAGTACATGCTCAGAGGTGGGGAAGAGAGATGTACAGCAGCGCCAGGTGGAAAATCTCCTTTCGTTATTAAGATGTTGGGTTTTTGAGAGAGCGGAGAAGGTGGAAGGATGGTCAGCCATCCAACAGGATGCCGATCTGTCATTCAAACAGAATAGAGGGAGTCCTCCAACTTATGATCACCATTCAAAGTAAAATCTCCTCTTCCCCAGATTATATCTCGGATTCCCCAGATTGTATCTTGGATTTAGCCCGATGGTTAGGAAATTAGACTTCAGTACAGCTGATCCTCACCTTACGACCACAATGGAGGCTCAAATTTATCTGGCTAAAGGCTCTTCCAGGCTGCAATTTCATTTCTTTTATAGGTAGTACAACCACACTTGAGTCACTACACTTGTTGCTAAGTGAGACGTTGCTTGAGTTTTGCCTCCTTTGATGAGCTTTCTTGCTACTGTTGTTAAGAGAATCAATGCAGTTGTTAAATTAGAGCAGGGTTGTTAAGCGAATCCAGATTCCCCATTTGACTTTGCTTGGCAGAAGGTTGCAAAAGGGGATCCCATGATTCTGGGATGCTGTGACTGTCATAAATATGAGTCAGTTGCCAAAAGTCTGAATTGTGATCACGTGACCACAGGGATGAAGCGACAGTCGTAAGTGTGAAAAACAGTTTTAAGTCATTTTCTTCGTTGTACCTTTCAATGGTCACTAAATGAACTGAATGATAATCCTCAATTTACAACCATTCACTTAGTGACCATTGGTCACTAAGCACCAAAAAAAGGACTTAGGACCCTATTCCACACTTATGACCATCGCAGCATCCCCGTAGTCACAGAATAAAAAAATCAGACGCTTGGCACCTGATATTTATGAGGTCATAGAGCCCTTTTGCGACCTTCCGACAAGCAGGAAGCCAGGGTTCACTTAACAACCATGTAACTAAGTTAACACTGGCAGGGATTCACTTAATGATGGCGGCAAGACAGGTCGTGACATGGGGCCAAACTCACTTAATAAGTGTGTCGCTTAGAGACAGAAATGTTGGGCTCAATTATGGTTGTAAATCAAGGAATACTGCCCGGAAGACCCTTTAGCAACATAAATTTGGGGTTCCACTGCAGTTGTAAGTTGAGGACTAGCTGAAATTTCTTTACCTGTCTTTATGGCGAACGTCATAAATATAACCCTGCTTGAGCAGGGGGTTGGACTAGATGACCTCCAATGTCCCTTCCAACTTTGTTATTCCATGATTCTGCAAGGGTCTCCTGCTCAACTTTATGACTGCAATTGAGTCTGACATTTGCCGTTGCTGAGACAGCAGTTCGGTGCATTTTTCCCCATTTCCCTGCCACCTGCCTGGCACCAACTGCCCGCTTGGGGTCAGGCAGGCAGGATCAGGTACAGGGGACCTTGGCAGCAGCTGGATCTTGACATGTAGAATTTATTCCAAAAGAAAATAAGAAAGACTGAAAAAAAAAGAAAAATAAATCACCACAAAAAGCTGCAAGAGGGGCAGTGAGGGAGAAGACATTCAGGCAGGCCGTGTGGCCAAACGGTGTCTCGGTGAATGGGCTGGGCCAAAAAGCATGGGCCAGAGGGCCAGAGGGCCAGAGGCCCATTGGCCAGGGCAAATGGCTGGGGGAGGCCTAGCAGAGGAGGAAAGCTGGCTGTAAATGGGCTGAGGTGGGAGGCTGGAGGTGAAGGAGGCACGGCCAAGGGTAGGAGCCTGAAGGTCCCATTCTTGACCAGCATACACAAAAAAGTAATTGGGTCAGCTTAAAAAGAGTTAAATTAAATAAAGTATAATGAAGTAATTTAATTAAATACAGATATTTCCATATGCTTAATTATTTGTCACATTAAATATATTGCCACTACATTAGGAATGCTATAAGATACCAAAGTCTTTTCCTTGTCTTTTGCTAAAATTCAGGGTTTTCGAATTTCCACTTACCCTTTGTTCTTAACACATACATTTTTCAAGTGAACAAAGCTGGATGGGAAGATACCCTGAAAAAGAAATTAAATAAATGCAATAAACCATCAAGAGTGATATAAACATGTATTTTTAAAAAGTCAATAATTTCTAGACAGAAACATTGTGTATCTTTATATATTCAGACAGTCACTGATATATGAAATGTGCCTGGATAAACAACATTTTAAAAGCAATTTATACATTTGATTTTGGTTGCTGTTTTAGGAAAGGAACAAATGATGTCTGAGAATGTGATCAATCAAAATTTGAAGCTTAACTTTGAAGCAACAGCAACTCTTAAGCACCTCAGAACAGAAATTCACATTTGCAACTTAAGCTCATAAAGCTGAAATTGAGGATTACACATTGAGTACGATTGGTCAGCCAGTTATGAATCCATCTGGTGGTGATGCTGTCTAACCCACATTTTTCTACTTTATCTAGTAGTAGGTTATGGTCTACTTTCTCAAATGCCTTACTGAAGTCCAAGTAAATTATATTGACAGCATTCCTCTGGTCCACTAATTTTGTCACTTTGTCAAAGAATGCAATAAGATTAGTCTGTCATGATCTCTTTTTGACAAACGCATGTTGGCTTTTGGTTATTTCTTTGTTTGCTTCTAGGTGTCTGCTGATTCGTTGCTTGATTATCTTTTCCAGAATCTTCTCTGGTTAGGTTAGGTTGATAGGTCTATAGTTTCCTGGATCTAATTTTTTTTCCTTTTTTGAAGATGGGAACTGCATTAGTTTTTTTTCCAGTCCTCTGGCAGTTCCCCGGTGCTCCAGGATCTTTGAAAGATATTGTACAGTGGTTCTGAGATCTCATCTGCCCATTCCTTCAGAACCTTTGGGTGTAATCCATCTGGTCCTAGTGATTTGAACTTGTCTAGGGTAGACAGGTATTCACTTACCATTTTCTTCCCTATTTTAACTTGGGTTCCTAATCTGTTTTTTGTGTTGCTGTTTTTGATAGGTTTGTCAGAGTATGAATATTCATGGACTGGAATAGATCAGCCAATGGGGACTGAATGGAGACATGGTAATAAGGTCAGCCAATGAATTGGCATGGTAACAGACTCAGCCAATGAAGGCTGTTTATAAACAGAAACTTAAGCTAGAAGTCTACGCATGGTTTAGGCAACTGAGTCTGTGCAGAAGCTTAACTGATCTGTATAGAGGAGGCTCTCTTTGTATTAAGCTCTGTGCTCAGTTCTGAAATGAAACAAGCCTGAACTAGCCTGCTGAAATGAAACTAACTGTTCTCTCCTGCCTTGTGTTTTGCTTGTAACTGCTACCATGTTGAAGAAGAATTCATGTATTATTATGTATATAAAGAAGTTAATGAATCCTGCTGCATCAGTCTGCCTGTGTGTGCTTTCTGGATTTAATTTCTACAACGAACTCTGACAAGGTTGGACTGTGAACTTGTGAATGAGATTTCACAGAACCTAGGGCTGTAGAACAACTAAGTTTACGTAGGTAAAACCCAGCTAGAAAGAATATGCACATAAAAGCCTATGAAAAAGGAATACACACACACACACACACACACACACACATACATACATATTCCTAATGATGGCTTATCAGGGCTAACTGCATTTTGATTAAACTTCTTGAAACAGCAATGTCATCCCCCCCTTTAATATTGACCCAAATGCATTCAAGATAATTTTCATCATTGTTGTGCTCTATTTCTGTAGAGATGTAGTTATTTCTTATATATAGTGCAACTCCACCTCCTCTTTTATTTGGTCTATTTATTTTAAATAATTTAAATCCCTCTAGCTGTATGTTCCATTTGTAGGTTTCATCCTACCAAGTTTCAGTAATGGCAACAATATTATATCTGCCCTCATTTACTTGAATTTCTAATTCACCCTGTTTATTCCTCATACTCTGTGCATTGGTGTATAGACATTTGAATCCATTTTGATTGACCCTGTGCTTACTATCTACATAACCTGTGTTGTGCCTGACTGCCCCTACTTTCTTGCCACCTGTTTGATTAGTGCACATGGTATGGCACTATTAAATGCTTGGTTTTGCTTGACAGCAAGGTTGATAATCTTACCTGCACAAACATCTATGTTACATGCACTGATCACTCTATTAATTTTAGATTGTTGGAGACAGAACTGTTCTATATCAATTAATTCTCTGTCCCCGCTGTTCAGTTTAAATGTTTATCCAGAAAATCGGTGAATTTAATGCCAAGTAACTCAGTCCCTTTCTTTGATGGATGCAAACCATCTCTTTTGTACAGTTTTTCATTGGACCAGCTGCAGACATCATGACTAATAAAACCAAAGCCTTCCCTTTTATACCATTCCTTTAGCCACACATTAAACTCCGCTACATGCTGGCCTTTCCCTTTTTGTTCCTTATACAGGTGAAACTCGAAAAATTAGAATATCGTGCAAAAGTTCATTTATTTCAGTAATGCAACTTAAAAGGTGAAACTAATATATGAGATAGACTCATTACATGCAAAGCGAGATAGTTCAAGCCTTGATTTGTCATAATTTTGATGATTAGGGCTTACAGCTCATGAAAACCCCAAATTCACAATCTCAGAAAATTAGAATATTACATGAAATCAATAAAACAAGGATTGTACCTAGAACAATATCGGACCTCTGAAAAGTATAAGCTTGCATATGTACTCAGTACTTGGTTTGGGCCCCTTTTGCATCAATTACTGCCTCAATACGGCGTGGCATGGATGCTATCAGCCTGTGGCACTGCTGAGGTGTTATGGAAGACCAGGATGCTTCAATAGAGGCCTTCAGCTCTTCTGCATTGTTTGGTTCTCATGTCTCTCATCTTTCTCTTGGCAATGCCCCATAGATTCTCAATGGGGTTCAGGTCAGGCGAGTTTGCTGGCCAATCAAGCACAGTAATCCCATGGTCACTGAACCAGGTTTTGGTACTTTTGGCAGTGTGGGCAGGTGCCAAGTCCTGCTGGAAAATGAAGTCAGCATCCCCATAAAGCTCATCTGTGAAGGAAGCATGAAGTGCTCCAAAATCTCCTGGTAGATGGCTGCGTTGACCCTGGACTTAATGAAGCACAGTGGACCAACACCAGCAGATGACATGGCTCCCCAAATCAACACAGACTGTGGAAACTTCACACTGGACTTCAAGCATCTTGCAGTGTGTGCCTCTCCATTCTTCCTCCAGACTCTGGGTCCATGGTTTCCAAATGAGATGCAAAAGTTGCTCTCATCAGAAAAGAGGACTTTGGACCACTGAGCAACAGACCAGTTCTTTTTGTCTTTAGCCCAGGTAAGACACTTCTGACGTTGTTTGTTGTTCAGGAGCGGCTTGACAAGAGGAATAAGACATTTGAAGCCCATGTCCAGGATCCGTCTGTGTGTGGTGGCTCTTGATGCACCGACTCCAGCCTCAGTCCACTCCTTGTGAAATCCCCAACACTTTTGAATGGCCTTTTCCTGACAATCCAGCCTTTTCCTGACTCCAGGCTGCAGTCATTCCTGCTGTTGTGCACCTTTTTCTTCCACACTTTTCCCTTCCACATAACTTTCTATTAATGTGCTTTGATACAGCACTTTGGGAACATACAACTTCTTTTCCAATTACCTTTTGAGCTTTCCCTCCTTATGGAGGGTGTCAATGATGGTTTTCTGCACATCTGTCAGGTCAGCAGTCTTTCCCATGATTGTGATTCCTACTGAACCAGACTGAGAGACCATTTAAAGGCTCAGGAACCCTTTGCAGGTGTTATGGCTTAATTAGCTGATTAGAGTGGGACACTTTGAGCCTAGAATATTGAACCTTTTCACAATATTCTAATTTTATGAGATGGTGAATTTGGGGTTTTCATGAGCTGTAAGCCATAATCATCAAAATTATGACAAATCAAGGCTTGAACTATCTCGCTTTGCATGTAATGAGTCTATCTCATATATTAGTTTCACCTTTTAAGTTGCATTACTGAAATAAATGAACTTTTGCACGATATTCTAATTTTTCGAGTTTCACCTGTATACTGGTAAAACCTCTGAAAAGCTAAGCCTACAACCTATACTACTAAATTCATACCCCAAGCTCTGGAGATCATTCTGCACAGAAAGTACACCTTTTTGGGACAGATCATTTGTGCCAAGATGTATAATACCATCAACATCATAGTCCTTACTGGCATTCTTGACTATTTTAAGAATATGCCTCTTGTCTCTGCTGGCAGTAGCACCTGGCAGACACCTGACCTCTTTCAAACCTCCATATCCTTTCCTACATTTACATCCCTTACAATTGAATCACCAATCAGAAGGTAGTGTCTCTTTTTGGATAGCTTGCTCTTCTTGTGTGACTGATGTGTAATACCTGATTCACACTTTCCCCTTTCCAAAATAAGTTCTTCATCTTGGACCACAATCCCCTGCTTATTTGAGTTATCATTATCACAACTACCTTGACCTGTCACTTTAGTGTCCCTATTAAGGCCAGCTAGGGCACTGTATCTGTTATGTTGGAACACAGCGGAAGTTTTGTGTTTTTGATTCACAATACTCACCCTGCCAGATCCCATGGTTGTCCATACTGCCCTTCTCCTCCTATATCTTTGTGGTAGAGGGGGCTGATAGTGCGGCAGCTCAATAGAGTGAAATGGCTGAATTGGGCACCTAATTTCTTCTTGGAGAGCACAGATTAGAGATTCTAGATAGGTAATCTGTCCATGTAGACAAGTAATTTGTTTTCAAAGAGGACAGTACCCAAATTTGAAAAGATTACTGCGAAAGACAGCTGCAAAACAAGTATTGCACTGAACTAAGCCGGTCATTTTGAAATAAAATAAAATCACAATTTCAAGTGCACTAACCCTGAATGTTATATTGCTATTTTTGGTTTTTAGTTATATGATTCTTTACTCCCTCTCAGTCTCCCCACTTACAGCTAGCAGCTCCTCCCAGCAGCCTCCGGGAAGTTAAAATGAAATGGAGGCAGGCTCGCTCTATCTTTGTCCTCTGTATTCCCTCCCAGTCTCCCCGCTTACAGCCAGCAGCTCCTCCCGGCAACCTCTGGGAAGCTAGTGATCACTTTTAGTGATACCTTGAGTGCTATGACATCCATTTTAGGTTATATCACCAACCCCTTTAATTTAAGGCAAGATAACAGATGAGTGTCAAGATTGAACTACTTTGCTTCTTTCAAACCTTAATGCTTTTCAACTTGACAATGAACTGGGGGGGGGAGGGAAGGGAGAAATAGAATGTTGAGAATGTGTGCATGGACCGTGAGAGCCTGGCAACCATCAAGGTCACCACTGCAGGTGCTTGAGAAAGAAATGGACTGTTCCCATCACAAAAGGAGATCTCATAATTCGACAATGTGATCACTCGGGGTGGGGAGAAAGAGAAGTTATTTATAACTAAGCAAGCATTTGTGCGGGAAAACCAGAGTTGGTTTTGATTCTTCAGTACCAAAATGGTGTATCCAATAGAGTTTTACTTTCGGGAATTCAAAATGGAATGTGGAGAATGTATGCAGAGATTGTGAGAGCATGGAGAGCAGCAAGGTCCCCGCAGCAGGTGCTTGAGAAAAAGACGGACCGTGCTCATAACAAAAGACCATCTCATAATTGGATAATGTGATCAACCAGGGGTGGGGAGAAGGAGAAAGTATTGTTTAACAGGGCAAGCATTTGCACAGGAAACCTGAGTTGGTTTTGTTTCTTCAGTACCAACATGGTGTATCCAATAAAATTTTACTTTTGGGAATTCAATTCTCCTGAGACTGTTTCCTTGTTTTGGGTTTGCTAATTGGGCAGTTGACAGACAATTGACATTAAACCAGCTCTCTTTAACTTAACACAGCCTACTTGGATGCCTCCGAGAGAGCTGCGATCTAACGATGTCCAGGATGGAGTGGAAAGTTGATGCTGCAGTGAAGCTTGATTTGGTCCTTCCACGGGAGGCACCAGCAGCAGCCCATACTGACTCCAGGACACAGATGATGGTGACCCGATCCAAGGTGAGGGCAGAGAAGGCTGAGCAGCCACTGGTGCGTGATGAAGAAACCGTGGCAGGATCCATTTGCCTTGAACCGAAGACATGATGGCCGAGCAGAGTGGGGAAGGCAGCCAAAGCAGAATTCCCCTTGATCCTGCCTGGAATGGCCATGACTTGAGGGAGCAAAGGGAAGGCCAGGAGAGCTGCAGACTGGGAAGAACCAGTTAAGCATGCCATAGCTTTTCAGTGGAACAGCAGAAAGATCTGTTGGAATGGAGATGCGGAGCAGCGACATTGATGAATTATGTCAGTTTGTTGCAAAAAACAAATCCAGAAACACACACAGATAAACTGATGCAGCAGGATTCATTAACTTCTTTATATTCACAATAATACATGAAGTAAATTTACAATACCAACAGCAGATTCAGAGTTTCATTTCAGCTCAGATCAGACAGTATGCAGACTGCTTGGTTTGAGTTTCAATACTCTGCACAGAATCAGAAGCTGCAGACTAAGACATGCCCTGGCTCCAGTCTGTCTCAGCTCCCAATTGGCTGACTTAGTTGCTATGCCTATTCATTGGTTGACCTTGTTATCATGTCTTCCCAGTCATGAATATTCTGACAAAATAGTCGGTCCTGGGAGCAGGACTTGGGACTGGTCAAGCGTCAACAACCGCATCCCCATCTCCACCCCAACTGACGAGGCTGGGAAGCATGGGACAAGGAGCTGAGGTCCCCCCAGGAGGGTTATCATCCCTCCTTTGGCTGCGGGACAAGCCCAGGAGGATCCTGCAGCAGCAGGAGCTCAGGCTCAAGTGAGGCTAATTGAGTTCAGGAAGACTGAGAACCCTCATCTCTGAAGGTCCTGTTTATTGGGTGGCCAGAGAAGCTAGCCTATTTCCTGAACCAGATGTGAAACTACTTGGAGAGATATGGAGCAATGTCCCAGACAAAGTTCCCTCTGTGAACGCAATTACTTTGAAACTAGAAGGAGAGAAGGCAGACTGGGTGATGTTCCTCCATGACGAAGGTGCCCTGAGTTGTGGGATGTGGATGCCTTCCTGGATGAGCTTTAGGCTAGATTTGGAGACCCTGCACAAGCCTAGTGAGTGGAATCTAGGATCTGTGCCATAAGGCAAGGGAGTAGGCCTGTAGCCAAATACATTCAGGAGTTCCGCAGCCTGGCTGGGAAGCTGAGGGGGGTAGCCAGAATGCTTCCTGGTCTACCACTTCTGAGATTAAACAAGGAACTGTACCAAAACTACCTGCCCCGGGGAATTCCGGACCTCCGGGCATGGTACCAGCTGGCGACCACAATGAAGCTAGACCTGTTGGAGTACCAGCAAAACACAGCACAAGGGTCATCCCTGACGAATCCAAGAGAGATGACTGTCAGTGTGCAAGGGGCTGACAGTCCCACCCTCAACTCCAAAGGAGAGTCTGTGATGCCCTCCTGGAACTTGCTTCCGATGTGGGGAAGAGGGCCATTGGGCTGCCAATGGCCGAGTCCATGTCAGTGCCGAGGGTTCAGAGTCAACCGAAGGCCAAGAAGGTGCCGAGGAAGATGAAGGAGAAGACACAGGTGGTGCAACAGGTCATGGAGGTCTCTTCCCCCTCCAGCAAAGGGGAGGGAACTCTGAACCCCAGCAAGCCTAACCTGGTCTTCTACGAGAGTGACAGCGAGGGGAACGACGACCTGATGGTAAGTGGAACCATCACCCCTTTGACCACCCAGGTGATGTTAGTGCCCCACTCAGGAGCAAGAGGGGTCTTCACTGCCCTGGTCGACTTGGATTACACCCGCTTCTTGGTTAGCCAATGGACTGTGGAAAAGATGAGACTGAGACTTAAAAAATTGAAGCAGCCTATGAAGTTTGAACAAGTTGATGGCTCCCTCACTGGAGGGTTGCCTGCCACATGCCTAACCAAGCCAGTAACCCTGAAGGCAGGGAGCCATGAGGACACTATTCAATTTATAATAGCCCCCTAAATGGCAGAGACTATGATATTGGGGTTGGCATGGCTGAAGAAAGGGAATCCAGCAGTCAACTAGAAGAACAACAGATGACATGGGAATGGGAAAGATAGTGTTCTGACCTAGGCTTCCTGAGTCATTAAAACAATGAGTAGTCCCAAAAACCTCTTTTATTTGCAACATCTGTGAATTCTGTTCATTCACAGATGAGTCCAAATTAGTTATAAAGAGTCCTTCGGGAGAAGTCCTTCGGGATAATCACCCACCTTTATCTCCCTTGACACGCTGCCAAAGACTTAATTGACAAAGCCACACAGAGTCCAGAATCAAACAGAGCTTCAGGCTTTAAACTGAACCAAATGAACAAACATTGCTTCCTGCAAAGGCCCACATGCCTTTGCTCCTCTTTTAAGTCTTATGGGAGCAGCCAATCATCTCCCAGCCCTACTTCTGAGTCGTCCGTTTTGTTTTAGCTGTTCTTGCCTTCTGGCAGTTCTGCACATGTGCGCACTGGGAACAGGCTCCCCCTGTTCCTCTGCCTCACTGAGGTCCGACTCTGGAGGCTCTGGAGGCAGCATGTACCTCCCAGATGGCCCTTTCTCTGCCTCCAACATAGAGCCCTCATCCGAGCCTTCCCCAGACTCCAGGACTGGCCCATGGTCCTTCTCAACCTCCTCACTGTCCAACTCTGCTGCCAGCTCCGCAGGCTGCTGGCGGACCACAACAGATAGAACCTGTGAATGCACTAGCTTAGAGTGGCCAAAAGGGGCTGAAGTATTTCACGAACGGGTATCATATGTATTCCCTCCCCATCACCCCACTGAATGTGCCATTGAAATACTGCCTGGGGTGAAATTACCCAAAGCAAAGATGTACTCAATGTCCTCAACAGAGATGGAGGAACTTAGAAGCTTCATGGATAAAATTTAGCTAGGGGCTTTACCCACCCAGCAAAATCTAGGATGGCAGCTCCAGTGCTCTTCAAAGAAAAGAAAGATGGGTCTTGGACTGTGAGAGCCTGGCAATCATCAAGGTCACCACTGCAGGTGTTTGAGAAAGAGATGGACTGTTCCTGTAACAAAATGATGTCTCATAATTGGATAATATGATCATCCAGGGGTGGGGGGAAAGGGAAGTTATTGTTTAACTAAGCAAGCATTTGCAGGGGAAAACCAGAGCTGGTTTTGATTCCAAAATGGTGTATCCAATAAAGATTTATTTTTGGGAATTCAAAGCTCCCAAGAGTTTTTCCTTATTTTGGGTTCACTAGTTGAGAGCCCCAACTGGAGCCCCAACTTTATAAAATCAGAATTCCAAGCAAGGGAATGATGGAGGTGTAGTGACCTTACCAATAATAAAAAGGATGACATTTTCTATTTTGAGTGGGGAAGGCAGATTATTCAAAATATGTACTTTAAGATTTAATGACTTAACCTTATTTGAGCTTTATTTTGTAAAGCACAGACAACATTAAAAATTGCACTATAGAATTAAGCATTCATGGCTAAAATCATCAGGATCCTGGGGTGTGGGGTTTCTAAGTATTGCAACAATGGCATTGGGAGACACATGCAGAGTTATCTTTTTCTTAGTGCATTTTAGCATAATCCCATAGCAAATTATAGTTTCCCTTTAGCTCTTATCAAATAATTAACCCAGAATTAAACATTATTCCCACTTGGCACACATTTTGTATGACTGCTCAAATAAACTATGTACTTTTACTTTTATATGAATACCTCAAGTTTTCACACACATTTTAATTTAGAAGCAAAAATTAATTTACCTTGAGATTTGGGGTTTTTAAGGCAAATCCTCTGTACCAACCTGAAAAGAAATATTTTATATTTCATTTTACTTTATTTATAGAGTGCCTGACTTCCAAATATCTCTGGACAGTTTCCAACTAAAAATCAGTTTATCAAAAGAAAAGTACAACAGAAATACAACTGTAAGAATTTATAGTTCAACTTCCATATATATTTAATATGAAAATTTACCTGTATGTATCTTCCCCAAATAACAAAAATATACAAGGATATTTATAGAATACTACTATTGTATCATCAGTTATAAGCAGATCAGATTCATACCATTCAATAGCATTTCTATGTAAAGATCAATGCAGGTTTAAGAAGTGACACAGTTGCTTTAATAGTTTGAAAACTCTTTTAAACCCTTTTAATCTCTTTAATTCCATGTTTAACAGTTATAGAAAGAAAATATGCTCAAATTTAGTGGCTAGGACTAAGGAAATCCAGATTTAAAAACTGTTCTAATTAATCTTGAGGTAATCATTTACACATGATTACACACTTGCATATCTCCTTCAGAAGCTGCTCTTAGCTGTCTTTGCATGCATGTGACAAAGACTTAGCAAAATCTTACAAAAGAACTCCAGAGTATTGCAGTATTTCTACAGTGCTCTATTTTCTACCCTATATCTCAGTGGTGTCAAACTCAATTTCATTGAGAGTTGCATCAGGGTTGTATTTGACCTCAGGGGACCAAGGAGGCATGCCCAGGGAGGGCGTGGCCAGTTCAACGTCACTCATCAAGGCTCCGTTTTCAGCCACAACGGCCTCCTGCAGCCCTCTGCCAGCGAAAATGGAAGTGGCAAATGGAGCCTGGGAGGGCTTCGCGCAACCTTGTTGAGCTCCATTTTCGCTGGCAGAGGCACAGCGGACCTGTCCTTCGCTGTCCCCAGGTCGGGCGCGCAGGCCAGATCTAAGCACCCTGCAGGCCGAATCCAGCTCACGGGCCTTGGGTTTGACACCCCTGCTATATCTCATTACATCATATAAATATATGTACCTTCATACAGAAACACACAATCTAACAAAATCTTATGAATTTAATTCAAAATACATAAACTAATTTTTTTGAGGAAAGAGTTTAACAGTTCATTATAAAGAAGTAATGTATACTCCAATCAGATTTTATTCTATAGTTATTGCTAGAAAAAAAATGTTACTATATTCAGAATAATTATTTCCTTGCAATTAGAGTTATCTTTTTACAGCAACAAACTGGATAGATTATTTTGAGACATTTCAGACTGGATAAATTTTACTGTTATTAATACATCTATTATTTCAATAAACTTTTGTTCATACAAAATTAAATTTGGCTATTAGTCTTATTAAATAGGTTTTCAACTTTAGCAAACATTTATATTTGCTTTAGCATAATTAGGTGAGTTGATTTTTAAGTCTCTTGACAAGTGACAGTTGCTTGCTTTTTCAACACTTACCATCACATTTTTCTAGTATTTGAACAGTGTCTCCAATCTCCAGTGATAAACCATGAGGGATTGTTCCTCGAAAACTTGCAATTACTAGAAAAGATATTAAATTCTATTGAACCATATTTTTAAGAAAAGAAAAACCACGTTTGATATTTAGCAGTGTGCTATTGAAAGCAAAAGCAGTTAGTGAAATCTTCCCACCTCAATTTGGACTGAAATTTCACATCACTGGATTTATTTATTTATTTATTTATTTATTTATTTATTTATTTATTTATTTATTTTTTATTTTATTTATTTTATTTTATTTTATTTTATTTTATTTTATTTTATTTTATTTTAAATTTATATACCGCCCTTCTCCCTGAGGACTCAGGGCGGTGTACAGCCAGAATTAAAAAACATGAAATACAAATATTAAAAACAATTAAAATATATATAAATTTGGCCCAAAATTAAAAATACAAACCAATTAAAACATTTAAAATTTCTTCTTAAGCCAGCCCGGCTTGCTGGAAAAAGTGGGTTTTAAAGGCACGGCGGAAGGCGCTAAGGTCTTGGATTCTCCTTATCTCTGGGGGCAACTGATTCCAGAGGGTAGGTGCCCCCACGAGAAGGCCCTCCCCCTGGGGGTCACCAGCCTGCATTGATTGGCTGATGGCACCTTGAGGAGGCCCTCTCTGTGGGAGCGCACGGGATGATGGGAGGTCGTTGGTAGCAGCAGGCGGTCTCGAAGATAGTTAGGCCCGATGCCATGGAGCGCTTTAAAGGTGATAACCAGCACCTTGAAGCGCACCCGGAAGACCACTGGGAGCCAGTGCAGCTCGCGCAGGAGTGGTGTTACATGGGAGCGCCATGCTGCTCCCATCACTACCCGCGCTGCTGCATTCTGGACCAGTTGGAGCCTCCGGGTGCTCTTCAAGGGGAGCCCCATGTAGAGAGCGTTGCAGTAGTCAAAGCGAGAGGTGACGAGGGCATGAGTGACTGTGCACAAGGAATCCCGATCAAGAAAGGGCCGCAACTGGCGAATCAGGCGAACCTGACAAAAGGTCCCCCTGGTTACAGCTGTCAAATGTTCCTCCAAGGACAGCTGCCTATCCAGGAGGACTCCCAGATTGCGAGCCCTTTCTGTGGGGGCCAAAGACTCGCCCCCAATAGTCAGTGATGGAGTCAACTGACTATATCGGGATGCCGGGAGCCACAGCCACTCAGTCTTGGAAGGGTTGAGCTTGAACCTGTTCCTCCCCATCCAGATCCGCACAGCCTCCAGGCACTGGGACATCACTTCAAGGGCATCATTGGAGTGGCCTGGGGTGGAGATGTACAGCTGGGTGTCATCAGCGTACTGGTGGTATCTCACCCCAAAGCCACGGATGATCTCGCCCAGCGGCTTTACATAAATGTTGAACAGAAGGGGCGAGAGGACCGATCCCTGTGGCACTCCACAGATAAGAGGCCTCGAGGTCGACCTCTGCCCCCCTGCCAACACAAACTGCAACCGGTCGGAGAGAAAGGAGGAGAACCACCGCAACACGGTGCCTCCCACCCCCAACTCTTCCAGCCAGTGCAGCATGATACCATGGTCAATGGTATCAAAAGCCGCTGAGAGATCTAACAGGACCAGAACAGAGGAGCAACCCCTGTCCCGAGCCTTCCAGAGATCATCAACCAACGCGACCAATGCCGTTTCCGTGCTGTGCCCAGACCTGAAACCTGACTGGAACGGATCTAGATAAGATGTTTCCTCCAGGAATTGTGGGAACTGTCACGCGACTCTCAACAACCTTCGCCATAAAGCGAAGGTTGGAGACAGGACGATAGTTGGCCAATATTGCCGGATCCAGGGACGGCTTCTTGAGGAGAGGCCTCACCACCGCCTCTTTCAAGGCAACGGGAAAGTGGCCCTCACTCAGCGAAGCATTGATAACACCCTGGAGCCAGCCTTGTGTAACCTCCCGGGAAGCCAGTACCAACCAGGAGGGACACGGGTCCAGTAAACATGTGGCCGCACTAAGTCTCCCCAAAATCCTGTCCACATCATCAGGAGTCACAGCGTCAAACTCCTCCCAGATAACATTCTCAAGACTATTCCTCGTCACTCTGCCCTGATCTACCCAGTCAGAGTCCAAATCTCGCCAGATCTGAGCGATTTTGTCATACATTTATAGATATAGTAACAGCCTTCTTTTAAAATCCCCTTTTTATATAAAAACGGACAGTTTGTTTAATAGCATGGGGGGGGGGAGAATTCAGCAAGAAAATAATTTATGTTTCACAAAAAATATTTTTTAATTATATTGCATAATTTTATGCAATAATAAATTTAAAGAATACAAAGGAATAAAAAATAAAATGAAAAATGAATACAAATGAAAAAATGAAAAACATACATAAAAACATTATGAACAGGAATTTTGATGTTACTTTCCTCTCCTTCCCTTCCATTCTTTTTCTCCAATCACTAACCACTACTGAAATATTTATGGTGCAGTTTTAATACTTAATATTAAATATTTGAGATTTTTGCCTACTTCTTCCAGAACTATTCAAAGTGATAAAGGCCTACATAATTTTAATGTTAACTTTAAAGGGGTGCTTCTTCTACATCATCCCACTTGTTTGAGTCATTCCATCTAATTGCCAGTAAACTGTCTAGTGATAAGCCACTTGAAGTCATTGGTACTCTTATCTTTAATTGGCATTCATCTGAATTTAGATTGAATAACTCTTCAGATAGAAGTGTGCTTTCTGATAGCCAAGGCCTTTAGATAGAGAGCTGGAAGCTACCTATCAGTAGTCAACATAAAGGTAGCAAAATGAGCAGGCAGATAGGAATATATTGATAGAATACATGGCTGCAGTTGTAGCCAATTCCAAAAGCTCAAACAAGGTAGTGTAGTATAGAGAGGGTAATCAGTCTTGAAGACTCCTGGCTATCTTTTGCTATGTACTCTTTTAAATTAGTTCAGTTTCAACATGATTTCTTTTAATTTGAATTAAGTAACATGTGGCTTCATCTGTGATTTGAACAACATACAAATCTTATTACACTTGTGAAAGAAAACTAACAAAAATTTATGCACATTCAGACATTATATTTGTGCTGAACTCTGTGAGCAAGCTAAGCAAATTACATGATAAACTGGCATTTTTCAGCATACCTGGAAGGCAACAGATTAGTTTTGAAGAAGTTAGACAATCTGTATGTGGTAACAACTGTACTCTCCAGCATGAGGAAAAAACTAGAGTGCTGGACTTAATGTCTTCCTATATCAATTATCCAAGGTGATTTCTCACTCATCATGGTAGTGTGGGAAGCCCACCCCCACTCCCAGAAGAATGAAGTATTTTGGGAAATAAAGACAGGATAAAATATTTCCCCTAAAGGAGAAATAAAAAAAACTTAAGGAAGGCAGAAACGACTCCCCGTTTCCCTGCTCCAAGCAGAAACTGAGGAGGCCACCTTTTAGAAATGCAGATTTGGTAACCCATTCAAAACAGGATATTTTGAAACAAAGGCAGAATGGTAGGATTAGAAGCAGCCCTCACCCAAGATCCAACACAGGATGAAAGCCATTAGGCACAATAGAAATTACCCACCGCCCCTTCAGAATGAAAGCCCCTTCATTGCACCATCCCAGAGCAGTCCAAACTTCACCTGGGAGCTCAGATAAACAATAAGAAAGAGGTTGACCAGATTAACTCAGATAAACACCTAGGATTTGCATTTCCTCTTTTGCCTATAGAGCCAGCTATGACCCCTACATAACCCCTATATTATGTAGGAATCTGACAACAGCCAGATAGAATATTAAAGGACATGTTCTTGCACAGGAACAGGAAGCTCAAATACAATGTCCAAAGAAGGTATTAAAACTCTCAACTCCATTTTATCAGCTGCCCAGAATTACATGTGGTTCTGCTTCACCAATAAACCATCTTTCCAATCAGCCTCCATGTTCCCAGTGTTTTTCTCCCAGCTTGGAACGGAACCAGATAGATATTCCTTCTAACAGTAGGCACTCCTGGATAAAATTCCAAATTTTAAGGGGAGGGGAAGTAGTCCAATTCTCTCTTTCTTTACACAAATCAATATACCACACTGAATTAACATGCATGGTTTAATGATTGGGAAAGGAAATGATAAAAATGTAATGATGAAAATATATTTAATTGGTAAATAAGACAATAAATTCACTAACATTTAGATAAAAGTTTATAGTATATTCCATAAACCCAACGTAGAGAAAAGGACAGAAACTGAGTAAAAGGAAAATGTTCAACTAAACAAGTCCATGGGTGAGAAAGAATGAAAAACCATTAAATTTACACGAGAAAGCAAGATTCTGATAAGGAGGAAGCAGCTGTGGAACTTCAGATGTACATGGAGAATTATCAACCCAATCAAGGAACAGCAATGATATTTCAAGATTCAGCTACATGACAAATTGCCTTTAGAATACCAGCTGTTCTCTCACAATGGAAAATTGAGTGCATGCAAGATCAATGACAGCCTTAAAAATCCTGAAGGTGGTTCCTCTCAGTTATGAGATGAACAAAATAAATACAATATATTTATAGAACCCTCCCCCACAACAATCCCCCATAACATCACCCACTTCTGATATAAGTAAGATTTTTTATTTTTTATTTTCAGTTAGCAGTCTTTTAATCAAACATTTCCATGTGGTGAAAAAAAGTGAATGCAAAAAAAGTATTTCAAGACACTTGCTGTTAATAAATATATTTCCTCTCTTCCATCGAATAAGCAGATTCACAGATAATATCAAGAAATCTCTATTGATAAAACTTGAATATAATACCACCACTTGAGACTGAAGGCTTATTAATAAAAGAACCTGCTGTTAAGAATGAAACTGCAAAAATACAGAAAGACAATAGTGGGTGACAATTTATGATAAAGAAAGAAAGAAAATGTATAGTGGCCAAGTTTTCAGTGTTCTACTTATCTTTACCACAACAAAAGTGACAGAGGCAGCACAACTTTATAAAAAGTTAAAATATAAATGGAAATAATGACTTCAAAATGAACACGTATGTCACCTGTTTGTAATTATTGATACTCTAAG